CTCAGCCGCCACACCGGGGTCCGCGCCCGGCTGCTGGGAGCGGCGGCAGCGCACGGAGGCCGCGGGGCGGAGCGGAGCCGGGCCGAGCCGCGGCGGAGGGGGGGCAGTGCTGGCGCRGGGGCGTCAGTCACGGCTGCGTCCCGCCCCGGGTACCGCGAGGTGCGCTCACAGGTGCAAAAARAGCGCGGCACAGGGGCAGCCCCTCCGGCCGCCAGCTGGGCTGCGCGCCTCGCCGGCCACTCCCCCACCGCTGGGTTCTCACTGATCCTGCCCGATACATCACGAGTTTCCGATCTGTGAGCTCTGCCCAACTTCGGTGTCACCCGTTATGTGTTGACTTGAGCTGTGATTTGTGCGGGATGTGGGGAAATTCCTCAAAAAAAACATTCGGTTTCTTTCAAGAATGAGTTTAGGGTAAAACCTARTCTGCCTTCGTTGAAGAGTTTCACGCAGCTGACCTGAAACTAGCGGAGTGAGGAGGTAGGGGCAGGGTGGAGGAAGTACAGGCGTGTGACGTGTGGGGGGAGTGGGGCTGAAAAAGTGATGGAGCTGAGTGAAAACCTTGAGCAATGAGACTAAAATCGGTGAAGAATGAGGCATAAGAATACCAGGTATATTCTTATGGCGCACCCCTGAAGAAAGGGGTATAAGGGTGGGTTGTGAACACCAGGACTGACCACACACAGTGCTCCCTACCTGTTACGCCCTACCATCAGAAAATAGCTGTGAACTTTAATTGTAAACCTTTCACAAGCCCCTTAGAAGGGGGGGACTGGGACTTTCCCCCGTTGTATAGACTTTTATTTTAGTCAATTTTGTGAAGAATGCATGTATGTAATGGAGGTAGCTGCACAGATTGTACATCACCAAATTGACCCTACTTCCATTGTTCCTGATCATGGCTAGTTTCACAGACCAAACATACCATTCTGCTGTGCTTTGTGTGGAATTTTTTTGGCAAAGCTAAGAGACCAAAGATGCTATTGTAATATTTGTGAACTGATGAATCACATACCTCAGCTTTCTTCGTGATGTTGCAGGCAGTGTGACCRTGCTGCATGCTTGTGTTGGCTTGATAGGAGGGATGATACAGCACTACGGACAAGAGGTTAGGAGCAGGGGAAGAATGGCATCATCTCCTTCAGCACCCTTAGATGCCTGAGGATCTACAGCCTTGAGGTCTGAGAACTTGCTTAGTGTGACCCCAGGGAGCAGCAAAGTTTCCTAAGCTATTCTTGAGCTGTATGAAGCAGGCACAGTCCCAGTTGTACCTCATGTGCTACTCCTGTAAACACATCTTGCCCAAACCTCTGCCTTGTTGAGTGATTTTTAAAAATCCTTTGCAGGTTCTTTTCAAATGTTACAAAGTTTGTTATGCAGCTGTGGTGATTGAATCAAGTGCAATATGCAGCTATGATTAATATTTTTGATTATTTTAAAAATGTTTCAGAAATTACTGAAGCCTTTTCCACAGGCATACTGGCAAATAAGATCATTTACATGCACAGCTCCACAAAATCAAAAAGAGTAAACAAGGGCATAAATTGAAAGCTTCTTCAAAACCTCCTCTCTTCTGTTTTTTGAGAYCTCTAACTCATGTAAGTTATAAAGTGGAAGGCATAGATAATTCAGACTGCAATAGGGATAATTTTCTTCTCAGTAGATTGTAGAGTGCTATGTTTTGGATTCCATATGAGAACAGTATTGATAACACACTRGTATTTTAGTTATTGCTATGTCATGTTTGTCATAAATCGAGAAACTTTTTGTGTCTCATGCCCTGCCAGTGAGGTGGTACAAAAAAAMCAAAAACTGGGAGGGAGCATAGCCAGAGCAGGTGACCAAAGATGGCCAAAGGGATATTCCAGACCATGTGACAACATGCTCAGTATATAAAAGGGGGGGGAAGAAGAAGGAAGGAGGGGACATTTGGAGTGATGGTGTTTGTCTTCTCAAGTAACCATTACATGTGATGAGGCCCTGCTCTCCTGGAGATGGCTGGACACCTGTCTACCCATGGAAAGTGATGAATTAATTCATTGTTTTGCTTTGCTTGGGTGCATGGCTTTCCTTTCCCTATTAAACTGTCTTTATCTCAACCCACAAGTTTTCTTACTTTTACCCCTCCAATTCTCTTCTCGATCCTGCTGGTGGGGGAATGAACAAGTGCCTACATGGGGCTTGGTAGCTGACTGGGATTAAACCAAGGCACTTGTCCACACATCACTCATCCATCATGCCCCTCAAACCTTCCTCACTTCTAGATAATGCTAATTACACCGATTTTTTTTTTTTTTTTGTTTAATGGTACTTGCAGTTATGAAGAGTTCCTGTAATTTTCGGATCAGGATATGTGTCSTGGACACAATGTAGATGTACAGTGTTGTAGCTACACAGTTGCAGGAGTACCAAAGGTGAAAAAAGGGACCTCTTTTCTCTCGAAAGATGACAGTGAGGGTCTGAGGCAAAAGCTTCGCCGTCTGTACGCCGCTCTTCTAAGCAGTAACTCCACTAGGTGGTGCCGTCAGGAAAGTTAAGAGCACTTTACACCGTTCTGGGTAGTAATATTTCCATTATTGGAACTCTTAGGAACAGCAACTATACACCAAGATCCTGGAGTGCTGGGTGCTAAAGCAAAACTGAACAAAGACTAACCCGAGTGCAGTGACTGCTAGTGGATAGTGGAACTTCAGAAAGCAAAGTTTGGTCTAGATAAATACTTAAACATTTCACTGTACTGCAACCAATACCCTATCTGACCCAAAACATTCCACACTTAATTAGTTCCTGCAGTCTTTTAGATAACAAGGTACAAGGTGGAATTTGTGTGGCAGAACGCTTGTATTACAACACACTTTATGGCTTTTATATTTTTTTATAATAAGACAAATATGCAGATAAGGGAAAGGCTTGTAATTAYCTCTCTGAATAGCTGCAAGGCAATGTTATATTAAACGAAATTTGAGAAAACTCAATAGACATGCTGGTTCTGCATTCTTTCTTTTTGGTTAATGTAGTTCAATAAGTCACTCCGGCATAATTTCATTTTTATCTTGTGTATAACTATGAATACAGGGGGATAAAAAGAATTTATATTTTTTCAATACTGTAATTTTTTTTAATTACTGTCTTCATGTTCAAACATTAATTCTGTGGTATCCAGCAGCAAACTCTCTGTTTAAGTGGAGATGAACTGTGCTCTGAATGCAGGTTTTTGTGCAAAACTTGGAGTGTTCATCACACGACGTTATTCCAACCAGCAGTGCAGTTTCACACCTTTCCCAAACCTTTACAATCCTCCTCGGGGCCTCTGCTGGCAGCAGCTACATCCATAACCACAAGCCCCACAGCACAGTGTTCGGCTCCCGGGATGAAAACTCATTTCCTTCCACTTTGAACCAGTTTCCCACCACACTGGCGAGACGAGAGGGCGTCCCTAGCCCACACACTTCCCTCTAACTTCCAAGGAAACCACGACTGTAGTTTAGAAAGTGATACAATTTTTCCACTTAAAACCAGGAGAATCTTTACCCAGAAATAGCATGTACACAACATTTGCTATTTTCAGACAACCTCTTAATTGAAAGGATTGGGTGATCGCACCACACAGAGCTGGGACTCTCAGCCTATGCATGGATAGGGTGGTGAGCAAGGGAGAGTTGGAATAGGTCCAGCGGAGAGCTACAAAGATCATTAAGGGCCTGGAACATCTCTCCTACTAAAAAAGGCTGAAGGAGCTGGGCCTGTTCAGCCTCGAGGAGATGAACAAGAAGGGACCGSATCAACATCTATTGGTATCTAAGGGGAGGGGTGCCAAGAGGATGAAGCCAGGCTCTTCTCAAGCAATAGGACAAGAGGCAATCGGCACAAATTGACACAGGAAATTCCACCTGGGTATGAGGCAGAACGTCTTCATCGTGCAAGTGACCGAGCACTGGAAGGGATTGCCCAGAGAGGTTGTGGAATCTCCCTCACAGGAGATGTTCAAGAACTACCTGGCCTCAATCCTGTGCCATGTGCTCTAGGATGACCCTGCTTCTGCAGGGAGGTGGGACCAGACGACCCCCAATGACTGACCCGTTCTGTGAGAGCCCACAAACGGAGGCGGGTGACAGAGCAAACACGAACCGAGGAAGCTCCGTTTCTTCAGAAGCCGCTTGGGGTTTGTTCCAAAGAAGCCCCAAAACCGAACAAGGAAGGAGAGGGGAAGCTGCGGGCGTAGGCACAAACCCTCAGCCCTGTCTGCAGCCCTCGAAGGACAAGAGGAGAAGTACCAGCTCCCTCCGCGCCGTCCGTCCCCGGCYCCGCACCGACCCCTCCGCGCCCCGCGCCACGTGACAGCGCGCGGCCAATCCGCGAGCCCGGGCGGGCGGGCGCGAAGCACCGGCTGCCCTCCCCGCCTTTCTCGCGCGCGCATGCGCTCTCCGTGCCGGAGCCCGGCGGCGGCGGCGACCGGGCCGGGGGGCGGCCCCCCCCCTGCCCCGCGCCCCGCCCTCCCCTCGCCTCGCCTCGCCTCCCCTCCCGCGGCTCCCGCTCGGCGGCGGCGGCAGCGGCAGGTGAGGATGCGGCTGGGCGGACGCTCCCACGTCGGCGGCGCTGCTGCTGGTGGCCGCCGGGGCTGAGGTCGCTGCCATGGCTCTGCCGGGCGCCGGRGCGGCGGCGGCCGCCGGTGGCGGCGGGGGCCCGTGCCCGCTGTGGACGGCGCTGTACGACTACGAGGCGAGCGGCGAGGACGAGCTGAGCCTGCGGCGGGGGGACGTGGTGGAGGTGCTGTCGCAGGACGCGGCGGTGTCCGGCGACGACGGCTGGTGGGCGGGGAAGATCCGCCACCGCCTCGGCATCTTCCCGGCCAACTACGTGACCCGCCAGCCCCGCGGCGGAGCGGCGGCGGGGGGCGGCGGGCGGGGAGACCCCGTGGGGAGCCTGACGGAGATCGACTTCCAGCACCTGGAGCTGCAGGAGATCATCGGCGTGGGGGGCTTCGGGAAGGTGTACCGGGCCACCTGGCGGGGCCGGGAGGTGGCCGTGAAGGCGGCGCGGCAGGACCCTGACGAGGACATCACGGCAACGGCGGAGAGCGTGCGGCAGGAGGCCAAGCTCTTCTCCATGCTGCGGCACCCAAACATCATCGCTCTGCACGGGGTCTGCCTGCGGGAACCCAACCTCTGCCTCGTCATGGAGTTCGCCCGCGGCGGATCCCTCAACAGGGCCCTGGCCGCCGCCCCCGGGGCCGCGACCGCCCGCGGGGGCCGCCGCATCCCCCCGCACATCCTGGTGAACTGGGCGGTACAGATCGCCCGCGGCATGCTTTACCTGCACGACGAGGCCATCGTCCCGATTCTGCACCGAGACCTCAAGTCGAGCAACAGTGAGTCCCTGGCGGGGYGGGGGAGGGAGGTGAGGAGGGACCTTCGGACCGCCGCGAAGGTGACGGCGAGGCGGTGTCCCCGGCTCAGGCCGCTGGGGCCCGGGGGAGTCCCGGCGCGGCGGCGCTGGCCGTGGCCGGGGCGGGTGGCCGGGCCTGGACGGGCTCCGACCGAGAGCCCTGTTTCACCGGGGAATGGGTGTCGCAACTCGGGCACCCGCTGCCAGAAGCTTGGGCCAGCGGCAGGTTAGTTTGCCGGGCTGTGAGCTGGGTATGGAATCGTGGAAAGGTCGGGAGAAGACGGGGGTCCCTTCAGCGCRTTCAAAGTCCTGCCCTCTCGGAAGGGAGCTCAAAGTTGGGATGAAATCCTGCGCGCAACCATAATTGCAAATCCACAAGGCTGTTTTTACTCTGATGCGTTGTGTGGTCCTGGCTTTTAAAACCYACCAAATAATCCAAGTGCCTTGTAAAGAAAAGATTTAATAAGGATATTACTTCTGTTTCACTCCTGAACAATCGTATGTATTTGTGGTTTTCACTGCATGCATTTAACATTGCTAAAATTTACACACTTAGCAAAGATTGAGGTGAAAAAGACCAGTTCCTCAAAACTCGTAGAAACTGTTGTTTAGATGCCAGACGCTTTCATCCCTTGGCATGAACAAATGCACCTGCAAGAATGAGGGATTTGCTCAATTCATGCTTAATGGCTCCTTGATCTGTCTGACAGTACAGAAGCATCTAAGATTTTGGCAGTTGGAAAGGCTGTGTTTATTGAACTGATGACCTGAAAGTGGAAATCTATGTGTTTCCATAAATATCTGAAGCTATCTCAACTCTTTCCTTTTTGTTCTGCATGTGCCAAAAGTGCAGCAATGTGTTAGTCTTTTTTTTCTTTTTTTTTTCCAGTTAGGAGTCCTTAAGTAGTCCAGTAGAAACAAAAAAGCTTCATTCAAGTTTGAAGCACTTTGTTTAAGAGACTGTGTGTCTTGAAGGTCACCATGCATGGGCTGYTAAGACAAGGCTCAGTCATGGGACTGACTGTTCTGAGAATACTTTCACTATTTGTTTGATAAAGAAAGGACCTAGCTCAGCTGTGTTTGTGGTTCTGTTTGTAGCACAGACGATGAACTCTTGGACCTTCAGCGTCATGGCCAAGACCTTAATTTTTAGCGAGTGGTCTGTAGGCAGCTTGTGCCTGTTTAGTTTGCTGCTGTGTTCAGAGTGGGCTGCTGCACCTTGAGTATTCAGTGCTTCTGCTTTAGACAGCAGTCTGCTGCATGCTAGCAGTATGTTAAGTGACAGTGGCAAAGTTTGTGTCTGAAATTAATTCATAACCCTGTGGTTTAGCATAACCCCCGGAGGTGATTTGGGTACTGCTGAGAACTGGTTACCATTATCATCTTTTTGTATATGGGTAGTGGCAGAGCATTTCAAAAACATACTTGTGATTATAACCTCACCAAATGTGCCTATTCATTGCTTTTATTACTAATTCCTGTTGCACATGCACYTAACTTGAACTAGTTAGATCTCTCACCAGTATTTCTTAATCTTAGCAAAGTTGGAACACCAAATTGAATATGCTAAATAGAATTATGTCTCTTCATCATCTGTCTAATTGATAATGTTAGAAGGCAGTGGTGCACTGGTGGTACCATATACCATTGAACAACATGAATTTAAGATGACTGCAGGTCATGACARTATCCTGTGTTCTGGTAACTCATCCATTCATTGAAGATTTCCCTTCATTCTTTTTCTTTTACAGTCTTTTGCAGTCTTGCATAGTGGGAGTGGAATGCTGCCAGGGTTGACTGAGCGACTTGCTTGGCTTGGGTAGTAACAGTTCTGCAGTGGCTGTAGCTCCAGACAGGGGTCTGGCAGCACCCATTCCTCACCAGCTCATCTCTGGTTTCCAGGCACTGCTGCTGGTGGTGGTGGTGGTGGTTCAGTGCTCTCTATTAAGCAACTCTAGGTAGTATACAAATGTACCAGTTTTGAGCTAGCTTCGTTATTTTTTGCTAACAAGGATATTTTTTCTTCCTCAGGCAATAAATCAGAAAAATGCCTGCCTTTAACATGGCTTGGTAAGGAATGCTTCAAACTATTTCCCTAGCAAGTAGGCAGGAACTACTTTTTTTCAGCCAGGGAAAAGGGAGCCCCTTTTACCAGTGTATTTGAACCAGAAAGGATATGTGTCTGGGCTTGTGGTTGGCAGGCAATAGCAAGCCTCTCAAAGACAAGCATGTTACTTCTCTCCATGCAATTTTATGGAGTTGGGATCTCTATAGCATATCTAGTGTGGTTTCGCTGATGCCAAATTGACAGGACTGGAGAGAAAGTGCCTCAAACAGAAGAGCTATGAGCAGGTCTTTATTAACAGCAGCAACTGGCTGAGTTTGAATGCTCTAATTTCATTGGGCTCCTTTTGGGAAGTGGGAAAAGATTTGTTTCTGCTAAAGTAGGGAAATTAATAGGTATACAAATGTTTTCCATATTGGAAGAAAAAACTAACAAACTCGGTTGTTAGGGCTGAACAAGGATGTCAAGTGTAACTCTTGAGTTTTGTTAACAGCAGAGAGTTTGTTCAATTCTGAAATCCAGGTTTTTCAGAAACAGACAAAAGAAARGTGTAAAGAACACTTTTAGCTTTACATGTGTGATAGTAACTATGGTCTCTAATGTTGATTTATCAGTTATTGGTGCTTTGTAAAGCCTTGTGTGGCTGACGTGGTGAGAAGTTTCTCTGACAAGATCATGGCTTTTTTTGAGGATAACTTCTCATAAGCAGTTCCTATGTTCCTTAATATGCTTTATAGATTAAGGACATAATATAAAATTAAGAGGTGACCTTTRGCTGTCTAAAATCTGAATAAAAATYTTGGAAGAAAATTTGATTTTTATTAAACCCTCATTGTTAGTCAAGGAATTCTGAATTAATTGATACCTTAACTGAAAAGGAGATACCTTAAAAACTGTGAAAATACTTGAATATTCCTAACTCTGTCTTCTGGGTAGGAGTTTAGTCTTCATTAAGCATGCCAGCTGACTATGAAAAAAATGTAAATCTTAATGTAAACATAAGGCAGGAATTCATCTAGACACCAGACACTAATAGTTACATGTGTCTTTTTGCCACATCTCAGCTATTTTTCTGGCTCTTTGGAAGGGYAGCTCCTTTGCTCTGAGGGAGTCAAATTTCTTAATTCTGAGCAAGGACACCACATTAGTTACAAGACCTGTGGTTGTGTAAGGGCTCAGGACARCCTCTACTAGTTATTTTATCTGAAGAAAGCTAGTAATATGTTCAGCTAGAGTGTGCCACATTTTCACTTTCTGAAGTTGAGYGTAGAGAAAATAGGGGCTTGTGATTCTGGCTTTGATTTCAGACTGTGTACTACTTTAAAAAATGCACTTTATCTCTAGTGCAGCAGCCTCATGTACTTCTGGGAAGCATTGCAATAAGTTCAGAATATCTTGCTTATGGCATAGACCTAACCTTGATTACAGAGTTGATTATGTGTAGATACTGTGTCCTAACACAGTACTGATAAAGTGCTCTGGGCTCACTTGTCATAGATGGGTATGCAAGTAGGGTTCTGTTTGCTATGGCTTTCACCAGCTCCTCCAACATYGCAGCATCCTTTACAGCCCTCAGCTCTGAACAGCACTGAGTTTGTACCGCTTTTTTAAATTGTCAAGGTCAGCTTCAATTTCAAGGATTGTTGAATAAGACCATGGAAGTGGCAATGCTGATGSGAATAGCATTTGGAATCTGAAGGAATTAAACATACAGAAGGGCAGTGAAACTGCCAATGGACAATCCACTGTAATGTCACGTTCTTCAAACTAGTATCATGAGAAGCAGTCAGAGAATAGAAATAATTTGATTTTTAAAACCTTAAAAGGAAGTGGGATGTGTTTTGACAGAACTGTTGAATTAGTTGCTTTTGATGAGGCAAGATATCCTGGAGTTTGAGAAAAACAAGAACAAATTATCTCTGGTTCTTTGCTTTTACAGGTTATTTGCAGCAGAAGTGCTCAAGTTGTGCTTTTAAACAGCTTTAAAATAACATGGAGATGTTTTCCAGAAYTCATAAAAACTGCTTTCTCTCAAATGTCTCCATATAGCAACTTTAGGCTAGCTGTTCAGGGAGAGGAAGAGTAAGAAACTAGAATTAAGCCTATCTGCCATCTTCTGAACTGATTTTACATACTCTGAAATCACTAGGGTATATAATTTGTCTCTTAACTGTTTCAAAGAGGTTAAGACTTGCTCCCGTCACAAGTAGAACTGTTATTAAATGTTTGAAATTCAGAATCTTGCACAGTTACCAAGATAATTCAAAATTGAATTCTATTACAATTGTCTTTGATAGTTTTGAGAGAGAACAGAAATGGCTTTTCAGTACATTTGAGCATCAATGTAACTTCTTTGAAAATAAAGTTCCAAGATGCCCACTAATGACAGTGAAACTTGGAGAATTTTCTGTCAGTAGCACTGTGCCAATTACTGCTCACCTGTTGTTGTGTAACGAAAAAAACCCTCATGTTCTACAGGTATGTATTCTGCATCTCATCTCCTCCTCCTGGTGCTCCCATTCATGGAACTTGCATCTCATATTCCAGTCCACATCCCCAGTGGGCTAAGCCTGGTTGTTCCAAGGTGCTTATCTCCAGTGATGGGTGACTCCTGCACCTCCTGTATCAGGCTGCATATGCTGCAATTGGTTTGACACTGCTTGTATTGCCTGGCTAGCTGCTAAGCTCCTGGTGAATTGTGTCTCTGAGGTCTGGAGCAGAGTGGATTTTTTTCTGGCAGAACTAACTGAAGTTCCTCTGCCATAAGGCAAGTGACTTCCATAAAACCCATAGGAACCATGTCTTTGAGAATGTGGTATCACCTTGATAAATGTCAGTCAGGTAAAATAGTGGGCCAGAAGACATTTTGCAGTTTATAATCTGTATGCTGTAGTTTTCAATGCTGTCTCCCTGTAGGA